GTATTCAACGCGTTTAAAATGATTGCGGCGTTTGTTTTCCCGAAATGGTTGAACACATTGTTGAATATAAGGACTCAATTGGTTGAACCGCCGAATGAATTCATATTTGAATTGACGCGACATATACTCGACAAACGACGCAAAGGCGAGAAGAATAACGACTTCTTGCAACTGCTTATCGATGCGAACGCTTCCGATGTCAACAATAATCAGGACTTATCGGCCGATAAGAAGGAGTCCCTTCACTTCAATGAAGGTTTGATTATTAATCATTAATTTTAGACATTATATTAATTAATAATTGTTTTATGAACTTAAATGACAGATGAGGACGAAATTATGGCTCAAAAGAAAACATTTAGTTTGAATTTTGCGAACAAAACGCTATCGGAAGACGAAATCATGGCTCAGGCGTGGGTTTTCTTATTGGCGGGCTTTGAGACAACGGCCACAACATTAGGCTATATATCATACGAATTAGCCCTCAATTCTGATATTCAGGAGAAGCTCTACGCAGAAGTGGCCGAAGCTTTTGATTCGGACGATGAGATTAGTTATGAAAGCCTTCAAAGACTGCCGTATTTGGATGCAGTGGTCAGCGAAACCCTACGTAAATATCCAGCGATAACACGACTCGAACGCGAAGCCGGCAAAGACATGAAGTTAGGCGACACCGGAATCAAACTATTCAAAGGACAAATGGTTGAGATTCCGGTCTACGCTATCCATCACTCGGAAAAATACTACAAAAATGCCGACCAATTCATTCCCGACCGGTTTCTGGCCGAGAATCGCAAGAATTTAGTTCCCTATACGTATATGCCATTCGGCACCGGACCCCGCAATTGCATTGGTATGAGGTTTGCCTTAATGGAGGTCAAGCTATGCATCGCTCATATCGTGAAGAGATTTCGGTTTATGAAATGTGCCGAAACTGAAATACCCCTTCAATTCATGAATTTAACGCCACTTTTGACCTCTAAAAGCATTTCCCTTAACATTGAAAAGAGATA